ATGCCAAGGAGCTCAGAAAGTAACCGACTATGACTAGTAATAATCAGATATATAGAGATTAGAAACACATATGCAAACATCTTAATGTCAATTGCATTAAAAGTGGATTTTTCTGTATGAAGCTGTGCATTTTAATAATGTAATGGAGATCTTTTTTAAAATTTAAAACCTCATTTAATTTTATGTCTTATAGGAGTTATATGGAGTACAATATTGTATAAACTGTATCAATTCAACTGTAAACCTAAAAATTTACAGCCAATTTTGAAAGCAATGCATCTTAGCTCTGGAAATTGTTATTGAATATGTCAATGCTGTTGTAATGAAATACTTTTTCTAATTATATGGTTATTAAATTTAAAAAAAAAACAAAAAATAAAACAATATAGTTTATTTCATGGCAATCAAGGTCAATATAACAGATTCTAAAAATAACAAAAATTAAAATGATTAGATTTATTTTTAAAAAAGTACATTTTAGGGCTAGGGAGATAGCTCAGTTGGTAAAGTGTCTGCCACAGAAGCATAAGGACATGATTTGGATCCCCAGCACCCACATAACAGCCAGGCATAATTGTACATGTCTCTAACCTTAGCACTTGGGGTGGGGATGCACAAAGACAGGCAGAGCAGCAGAGCTCTCCAGCCAGCCAGCCAAAGCAATCAGTAAGTGCTGGGTTCAATGACAGACCAGGTCTCAAATGATAAAGTGGAGCGCAATAGTGGAAGATACCTGGCATCAGCCTCTTACCTCCACATGAACACACACAATTACATATGTGTAAACAAATGCAAATGTACACAAACACAAATATTTAGTTGTCCAATTAAGGATTTTATCCTTTTATGGTATATCTTCCACAAGAATTAAAAATTTAGGGTTTGAGGGGCGGGAGAGATTGGAGAGATGGCTCAGAGGTTAAGAGCACTGGCTGTTCTTGCAGAAGACCCAGGTTCGAATCCCAGCACCCACATGGAAGCTAACAACTGTCCATAACTCCAGTTCCAGGGGATCCAATGTCAACTTGGCACACCTAGGTTGAGGGAGCCTCAACTGGGGGATTGCCTTCATTGGACTGGTCTGTGGCCATGTCCATGGGGCATCTTCTTGATTGTTGAGTGATGTCCTCCACGGGCACTGCATGACACAGGTGCACTTACATACATGCAGGCACTACTCATACACATAAAATAAAAATATAATACATTTTTTTTAATTTAGGGTTTGTGGGTAGGATCAATGTCATACCACTTGTCTATCATACAAGAGGCCCTGGGTTCAGTCCTGAGCAAAACAAGACAGAAGAAGAAACATGAAAGAAGAGGGAAGAGGAGGAGGAGGAAGAGGAAGAAGAGGAGGAAGAAAAGGAAGGGGGGTGGCACATGTCTATAAAATCCAGCGCTATATACAAAGAATATACAATTAAAAAACTTAAAAATAGTAAAAATAACAGTAACATATCATAGTACATATTAGAAGTTTCTACTCCTCAAAAGCCATGCCTGTTTCCATAGGCCCAGGCAGAAAATGAGTAAGAATTTTAATTTTATTATGGTTGAAGACAAAATTATTATATACAAAATTATAAAATGAGGAAAAAAAAACAAGGGAAGGGGATTTGTACCTGTGCATAATGTAACAAAGTTGGTTCAATATACTGGCATCCAGGCTTAGGAGTGCAGAATGGAAGATCACAGGAGGAAGCAGCACCACTAACGGAAGGTTGTAATTTACATATATGTCACACACCTTTTGAGAAGAACATTAACATCAATACAGATTAGTTTCCAGAAATCAGCCAAGTTTACCCAAAGAATCATCAATATAATATAAACAATAATATAATGTTACATTTGAACTTGCCTAGTTTCTAAAATAAACAGGTAGCTGTAGGCTGGGTGTGGGGTCACACACCTTTAGTCCTAGCACTCCAAAGGTAGAGGTGGGAGGGTGAAGTCCAAGGGCAGCCTGGACTTCATGAGCCCTGCCTCAAGGGGGTGAAAAAGGAGGCTGGAACACTTCCAGCTCTTGCAGAGGACCTGGGTTCAGTTCCCAGGACCCACGAGGTAGCTCACAACCATCTGTAATCTCTAACTCCAGTTCCAGGGGATCTGATGCCCTCTTCTGACCTCCATGGACACCTGCATGCACATGGTATACCTACAAACAGGCACACATATATACGTACAATAAAATTTTTTTTGGTATTTTTGAAACAGGGTCTCCCTGTAGTCCCAGCTGGCCCAGAACTTACTATGTAGACCAGGCTGGTCTTAAACTCACAGAGATATGCCTGCCTCTGCCTCCTGCCTGCTGAGATTAAAAGCATGCACAAAAATAATTTTTTTAAATAGAAAAAAGAAAATATAGAAAACAAGACAACTAGGAATTAATGAAGAAAGAAAGATGGGGCAAAATTATAATGGGCACTTCACGGTAACAGTTTTGCCATGCTGAATACTATATAACATGAAAAGAGGACTAGAATCATAAACGTCCTGGTACCACAAAAAATAATTTGGTTGAATGGTAGGAGTAGAATTCTGAAGAATCAAGATGTCATTTTCTTTTATCAGGGAGCCAGGCAAAACAACAGATGAACAACAACAAAAAAATGATGCTAGAAACAGATTTCTGCCTAGGACCAGCATTTTTATAGTCCAACATATATTATAGTGATATCTGAACAAAAAAGTACCCGGATTTCTTTTTACACTTACTCTATGAAAGTCAGTTATTCAGGTAAAAATATAGGCATTAATTTTAAAACATGAAGTTATTTTAACCGTATGATAATCCATCTTAATGATTATACATGAAATTTAAATAATAGGTCAATGAAGTGAATAGCTACCACAAAAGTGTGAATGTCTACTACCTTCTCATAGAAATCCAAAATAAAGTGCAGCAAGAAAGTACTATTGCTCTCCAAGCGCATTGCAATAGTGGACATCCACCCTACGTAGTCAATCAGGTTAGACACGGAGTTCATAGATCCACCCAAAGTCGTCTCTCTACAATAAGAAATCACAATATTCAGATACACGTGACAAAAGTGTTCTCAATTTCCAAGCTAAAGGTGAGTAATACAGAGTCAATAATTGATAGTGAATTCAAAAATTTCAGTGCTCCAATGTACAATTTATTTTTTGCTTACTTGTTTGTTTTGCTTTGTTTTATTTTTGAGACAGGAATGCCTTGTAGCCCTAGTTAGCCTACACCTTGCTTCGTAGATCAGGATGGCCCCGAAAACACAGAGATCTGCTGACCTCTGCCTTCCGAGTGCTGGTCCCACCATGCCCCACGTTCCTTTTTTTAAGTAAAAGCAGACTGATTACTCATGAAGTTACGCTTAGTCTTCTCTGGAACCAATAAGATCAACTCAGAAAACATCTTTGGCAACCGGATTAGAAAATTTGAGAAGAAAAGGAATTAAGCTCCAGACAAACTCTGGAGAATGTTAGACTGTCTAAACACTATTGTAGTCAAAATATGTTTCAAGTAATTGATTAGCAATGAATTCTAACACTACTCCATCATGAAAAGCCTTTAATGAAAGATAAACACTCACTAAAAATGGATATTCATTAACAATTCAGAGAAAAATACCTCATGACAAAGTGACATAAAAATTCAGAAAAAAAACAGAAAATGAACAAAATGATAAATAGAAAAATGAAAAGTTATTAATCCCAACCAAAGTATAAGTGGCTCAAAAGCATAAATATTAAATGACTGTGGTAATCACTTTCTACCCATCAGCAACACTGCAGCATGCTGAATGAAATACATAGTATATAAAAAAATACCCAGTTTTTCCTGAGTTCCTCAGAAAAGTATTTCATCAGAATTCAATCCACTCCTAAAATTAAGTAAGCAAAACTTTTGACATAGTTCAATCTCCTGGTAAAGACCATATAGGGATATGTTGTATTCTCCCCCAAATCCATGAGCATAATCTCTTTAAGCCACATGGGGCATCAAATGATTAGTTCAATCCATCCATTTTCACCTGCGTCTTTCAACCCATAGCTAAGTAGAGTCAGAGATGACCTACAAATGTGAACTCAGGTTTTTACTCTTCTATCGAGGGAGGTAGTGAACAACAGTTATAAGCAGAAAAAAGGGTAACGTATAATGACAGTCTGGGATAATATATAGTGCAGAGCTTGCAGGATGATAATTCTCCTACTACACATGACTGTGATAGAACATGCAGAGGAAAGATCAGAGAACACTTAATTGGGAGCCATCCATACAATAAGCTGCTACTTGCAAAACCGGTATAGCTTAATTGATTTGGGGCAGCACTTGGCATATGAGTCTAAAATAATTGGAAACAATGACTGCTCCCAGAAACCTTTTTTATGTGGTGCTGGATATCCAACTCAGGGCCTCATGAACACTAGGCAAGTGCTCCACCACGCAACTTCATTCCCAGACCCAGAACACACTCCTGGGGATTGTTTTCATTACAAAACATTGGCATTTTGAATAGACACTTCATGGTTCAGAACTGCCTCCTACCCCCACCTACTGTAATGTGTTTAGCATTCCTAGTTGCCACCTACTAAATGCCAGTAGCTCCCTCTCCCAAGTCACTTTTATAGCCACAAATGCCCCTGGAGAACCATTGCTGAGAACAGTGTTCTACTCTTCTTGGGACCCGCCACTACAATTTACTCCCTTCTACATGCTTACATGGCAAATGGTCATATAATACAAATATACCATTGTCTCCAAAACAAATTCCTGAAAGCTGCATGAGTTATATTGAAATTTATTTATTTATTTATTATGGTGTTAGTGTATATGTATGTATGTGTGTGTGCACACGCACAGGCACACACCCCCTGAAGAGTGTATGGAGTCAGAGGACAACTTTTCCCTCAGGAGTCAGTTATCTTCTGCCATCTGGTAGAATCTAGGTATCAAATTCAGGTCATTAGATCTGCAAGCAAACACTTCTTTCTACTGAGCCATCTTACCGGCCCATAGGTAACGTAATTTCAAATACCATGACAAGCAAAGTTATATCTATATGTATGACCATTTATCTGTTTTAAAGGTTTTAGAAAGTACTACTCCTTATAAGATAGTCTCCCTGAATTTATGACACAGTGATGAAGAATCTGGGCTGGGGTTATACCTCAGTAGTAGAGTGTTTGCCTACCATGCATGAGGGCTGGGTTCAATTTCTAGCACCATAAAAAAGAAAAAGAATTCTAGGACTTGGTGAATGAGGATATAGTGATTATAAAGTACTTATTTTACAGGTGCCTGGGACAAACATTGCAAGTTGACAAAAGGTTACAGATGCAAAAAGACTATTCTAGCAGAGTTTCCTTATAATAGTGGTTCTCAAATTTCAGCTTGTCATAGGATTATGGAAACAGTTAGAATTTACCTCAGTAGATCTAGGACAGGCTCTGACAATTTGAATATCTGGTAAGTTCCCAAGTGATATTAACATAACCACATTAAAAACAAAAACAAAAACTAGAGCTTTTAAAAATGTCTTCACTAGTCTGGCATGCTCACACATGCCTTTAATACAAGCACACAGGAGGCAGAGGTAAGTGAATCTCTTTGAATTCAAGGCCAGTTTGGTCTACATAGTGAGTTCTAGGCCATCCAGGGCTACACAGTAAGACCTTGTCTCAAAAAGGAAAAAGAAAAAAAGGACATCTTCATTACCCACTAATGCTCCATTTCCTTCTAAAAGTGGTTAAAGATGCATATACATATATATATATATAAAATAATGAATAAGAGGAAATAAAATACATTTTTTCAGCTATGCGTATGGCAGCACATGCCTTTAATCTCAGCACTTAGGAGGCAGAGGCAGGCAGATTTCTGTGAGGCCAGTTTGGTCTACATAGCGAGTTACAGGTCAGCTGAGGCTACAGGGAGACCCTGTCTCAAAAAAAAAAAATTCAGAGGGCTAGAGAGATGGATCAGTGCTTAAGAGCACTGACTGCTCTTGCAAAGGATCCGGGTTCAATTCCCAGCACCAACATAGCGGCTAACAACCATCGGTAACTCTAGTCCCAGGGGATCTGACGTCCTCTTCTGACCTTCACAGGCATTGCATGACAAGGGTGCACTTACATACATTCAGGTAAAACATTCATACATGTAAAATAAAATAAAAATAATAAAAATAAATAAATACTTTTAAATTACTTTTCAGGCTACTGTAAAGAAATATCTCCTTCCATTGCTCCTACACAAACTGTAACTCACTATAAGGATAAAAAAGGAATATGAACCTGAGCTAAGCATTTATCCCTAAGGAGAATGTGGATATTGGTTCAACTTGAGATCAAATGCTATTTTGGGGGCCTGGGGGATACAGCTCAATTGGTAGAGTGCTTGTCTAGTATGAATAAAGTCCTGGGATTGATTCCCAGCACCACACATACTAAATGCAGTGGTCCATACCTGCAATCCTAATACTTGAAAGGTACAGGAAGGAGGATCGGGAGCTCAAGGCTAGCATCAGCTATATAAGTTTGAAGCTAGCCTGGGCTACATGAGACTCTATCTCAAAAAAAAAGAACAAATAAAATATAAAATAAAGTACTAAAAGAAATGAAATGAAATGAAATGAAATGAAATAAAGGTAATACATCTTAAGCTAGAGAGATGGCTGAGAGAGCAAAATGTTTGTCATGCAAACCTAATGACCTAAATTCATTCCTCAGAACCCACATAAAGGTGAAAGGGAAGAATTGACCCCACAAAGTTGTTCTCTGAACTCCACACACATCGTGGCATGCATGCACCAACATATATACATCAGATACACACAATAATAATAGATGTTATAATTTTTTAAATATTAAGAGTTATTAACTTTAAGGGATAATATGGTGTCTGGTTTTGGTTTTGGCTTTTTTTTTTGAGGCAGGGTCTCACTTCACTATGTAGTCATGGCTGGTCTAGAATTGCTATGTAGACCAGGCTGGCCTCAAACTCACAGAGATCAGCCTTCCTCTGCCGAGTCCTGGTATTAAAGGTGTAAAGCATGCAACACCATGCTTGGTAGCATCTGGATTTTGCTGAAGAATAATCCAAAGAGAAAAGATGAAAAGCAGTCACCTTGAGATGATAACTGCTGAAGCTGGATGATAGGTACTTAAGTACAGTGGCCAAGCTTGATTCTTAACTTGATGGGATCTAGGATCACCATGGAAACATACCTCCAGGCATGTATGTAAGGGATTATCTAGATTAAGTTAACTGAGGTGGGAATACTCATCCTAAATTTATGTGGCACCACTCCATAGGTTGGGGTCCTGGACTAAATAAAGAGAAGAAAGGAAGCTGAGCACCAGAATTCATTGTTCTCTGCTTCCTGACTGTGGATGTGACTTGAGCAGCTGCCTCATACTTCCACCACCATGCCTTTCCCACTGTGATGGTTTGAATGAAAATGTCCCCCATAGGCTCCAAGTATTTGGACATTTTGTCCCCACATGGTGGCGCTGTTTTGGGAGGTTTTAGAAGGTGTGGCTATCCTGGAGGAAACATGTCACTGGGCGTGGGCTTAGAGAATTCTTAAGCCTTCCCAGATCTCCAGTCGCTCTCTCGCTTCCTGTGCCTGGATGATGATGTGAGAGCTTCACTTCTGCTGCTCCTGTTCCAGCCACCTCTAGCCACCTCCAGCCACAGTGCCTCCCTGCCATGATGGACTGTAATTCCCCTGGAACAGTAAGCTCAAATAAACTCTTCCTTCTATAAATTGCTTCGGTCAGTGTTTCTATCACAGCAACAGAAAAGTGACTAATACACCCACCATGATGCCCTCAAACTGTGAGCCAAACTAAACCCTTCCTTCCTTGAGGTGTTTTTATCAGGTCTTCTGTCACAGGAATGAGAATACTAACTATACATGATGCTGGGTCAGACTGTACACTTATATCTACTTAGGATTATGCTTGCAATTTTCTATAATACAGACTGTATAGCACTAAAAAGGAATATGGCTGATAAACTATACAAGAAGCCAAATATTTTAAACACAGAGAACCAAAATAACTGGATTTTCTAACTCCTTTAATTTAGTCTTTCACTTTGAGGGTAAAGAATAAATCTAATGGAAATTCAAGCTCATTTTTTAAAGTCCAAAGCCAAGATAAATTAATACATGTAACCAAAATACACCAGAGGAATGAAAAACATCATTAAAATTGTCTTTACATATAAAAACATATTGCATAAATGAATTAAATTGAATGGATGTCAAAATTGCAAATTGTAATCTCAGCTCCTCGGTGTTTTGCTGTATTACCTACTGCCAAGTCACTTAAGAGTCTAAGTGCTTTCTGGTTACCTAAGAAAAACTTGGAGAGTTAACATTTCTCACAGGATTGTGGGAAAGAAACATGAATAGTAAGCAAAACATTTTCAGAGCCTGGTGTGATGGTGCATGTCTTTAGCCTCAGCACTTGGAAGACAGAGGCAGGCGGATCAGTGAGTTCAAGGCCAGCCTGGTCTACATACCTTGTTCATGGCCAGTCAGGGCTATATAGTAAGGCACTGTCTCAAAAATAAAACAAAAAACATTTCCAGAAAAATACTAAGTATTCATATGAAATAATTACGTGTCATGCCACAGTATTAAACTCCATATGCCAACATTTGTGCACAGATCATTTCTATGGAAGACCATAACATAACTCACAGAGGACTGCTTGTCATAGGTTGCATGTAGGTGTCCACAGAAAGCTGTAACAGCCAGTTCTGCAGCATTTCTTTCAGACTCTGAAGAACACTACACTAAAGTGGCAAAACAACAAAAAAAATCAGTCATGAAATCATTCAAAGATAACAATTCAGATCCAACAAACTCAAGCCAAATGGGACCACGGATACGGCCATATCACATTTGTAACTCAACAGATGCTGCTCCAACATGATCACTTTCCAGAAGGCAGATGAATGCAAGTTCAAATGTATGTTATCATTTGTCTAGAAGAAACATAATTCAACAAGACTACCCCAGCTTAGCCTAGGAACCGATTTTTCTCTAAATTACCCTCCTTTATAACATATATTACATCATCAAATAAAAACATTCTTAGCCGGGCATAGTAGCAGACACCTGCAATTCCAGCACTCAGCAAGTAGAGACAGGAGAATCAGGAGTTCAAACCTAGCCTCACCTACATAGTAAGTTTGATCCCAGCTTGGGCTGCATAAGACCCAGCCTGAAAACTCAAAATCATCCTTATGGTCCCTTCAGAGATCCTCTGAAGGTGCTAGAGATAAGAGTTCTCCACCCTTTACCTTTGTGGGGGTCATAAAAATTTACTGTATGTGACTGTGGAAAATAAACATTTCTAATCTTCCTTTCTCAGCCTTTACCTTGATTTCCCAGGGTCTCATTTCACAATTCTAAACTACTTTCATAAACTCTCCTCATTTGTGCCTGAAAATGAAATAGTGATCTCTTCTTAATTCATTTTCTGTTCCCTTTCTTCTTCCTTCCCTTTCTCCCCACGACCCCTCACTCTCAAATATAAATAGATTTATGTACACATACCTGTGTACATGCATATTCAGTTGAATCATAAACAACTGCTAATTAACCACCTTGACCTACAGAAATGGCAGTTGCCTATATAGTTCAACCAAATGTTCATCACTAAGTAGGTCTGGTGGAATGAGTGAAGAAATTAAAAGGTATTCATTGAGAAGAATAGGAGACAATTGAAAACAGAGTCTGAATATTTATTATCTAGGATAACTGATATTTTCATATGAATGAGAGTATCCATCAGGTAGTAAAACATACAAGTTAATGTGACAAGAAATAAATTATTAGAAACACTTATGAGAACAATCTATTTTTCCTTCAAATGTGGCCAAGAGTGAGTGATTTAAGGTGTAAAAAATATATAAGGGGCTGGAGAGGTGGCTCAGTGGTTAATAGCTCTTACAGTTCTTGTAGAGAACCCAAGTTCAGTTCCCAGCACCCACATGACTTCTCCCAACCACCTGTAACTCCCGTTCCAAGGGATCTGATGCCATCTTCTAAGCTATGTGGGCACCAGGCACACAGGTGGTGCACATACGTGCAGGCAAAACACTCATAAACATAAAATAAAAATGAATATTTTTTTAAAAGAAGTTATAACACGAATATGTTTTTTAATCACTCTCTTTAAAGAGAAACAAACATTCTATAGGGAAGTAATTCAGGGAGTTTTGTTTGCTTTCATCACTACAGTATTCCTAGGTCATGAATGGCAATTAGAGCAGGGCATGGTGACTCACACCAGTAATCCCAACACTTAGAAAGCTGAGGCAAGAGGACAGTTGCAGGTTAAAGATCATCCTGAGTTTCAGGCCAACCTGGGCTATACAGTGAGACACTATCACAAAAATCCAAATGGGGCTGGAGAGATGGCTCAGCAGTTAAGAGAACTAGTTGCTCTTACACAGGTCCTTGGTTTGGTTCCCAGCACCCACAGAGCATCTAACAAATATCTATAACTCCAGTGACAGGGGATCCAACGCCCTCTTCTGGCCTCCATGAGCATTGCATGCACAGGTGCACTTAGATACATGCAGGCAAAAACACACATACACACAAAAATATTTTTTAAATTAAAAACAAAGAAAAGAGAAAAGAAAGGGACTGGAGAGATGGCTCAGATGTTCAGAGCACTGGCTGTTCTTGCAGAGGAGCCGGGTTCAGTTCCCAGCATCCACATGGTAGCTAACAACTGCATATAACTCCAGTTCCAGGGGATCCAACTCCCTCTTCCGACCTCCGCATGCATTGCACAACACAGATGCACCTACATACCTGCAGGCAAAACACTCATACATATAAAATTAAAATACATAAAATACAAAAAAGAGAAAAGAAAAAGAGGCAATTTTTATATATTAAATGAATAAGCATATGTTCAAAAGTATTAAGTACAAAACGCTAAGTATGGTTGTGTACTTCCCAGTTGTTTTGTTTTTATGCTCACATTAATGTTAATATGCATTTGAAACATTTATTCACACACATTTGCTCCTTACTAGTGGAAAAAGCTCAGGAAAACACTATATGACAGAAAAATTTAAAGGACAAAGTTCTATGCATTAACCTTAAATTCAGTAATATATTTAACTCAAAGGACAAGATAAAGAGAATTAGTTATAAAATCAACACAGGGACTGGGTGTGGCCAGGTATGGTGACACATACCTGCACTGCTGGCACTGGGAGGCAAGAGTCAGGAGAAGCACTGCTAGTTCAAGGCCAACCTGGTTTACACAGCAATTTCCAGGCAAGCCTAGGTTACCTAGCAAGCCCCTGCCTCAAGAAAAAAAATAATAAAAGGGGCACAAAACATCACTGCTGGAGGCCTGTGGATGTGGCTCAGCTGATATAGTGCTTGCCTAGCATGCATGAAGCCTTGGGATTAATCTCCAGCAACACATAAGCCAGGAATGGTTGTGCATGCCTGTAATCACATCACTGAAGAGGTGGACCCAGGAAGATCAGAAGTTCGAAGTCATCCACAGCTATACAGAGAATTTAGCAAGTTTGAGGCAGCCCCAGCTAGATGAGATCCTGTCTCAAAAAACAAAGAAAGCCGATGACAAGATACTTGTTTCCAAACCTGACAGTGATCTGAGTTCTCCTCAGGACCCACATGGTAGAAAGAGAGAACCAACTCCCACAAGTTAGCCTCCAAATTTCTCTTGTATGTGATGGCATGTGCACACATGCACAGAGAGAGAGAAAGAGAGAGAATAAATGCAATACAAAATTGAAAATTAAAAAAAAAGAAAAGGAGCCTGAGAGAATGGGTTCATACCTCCATCGTGTAGCAGCTCTAATCTCAGCAGACCTCCAGAGAGTGCCTAGTTCTGGCCTCCTTTGGGCCTCCCTCTGGCAGAGGGCCTGAGAACACAGGGGACTACCTGAGAACCCCTGAATCCTGCCTCCACGTGGTGGTGAGCTTCCCCTAATTTCGCCATACCCATCCCTCCGCCTGGGATTTTGTGAGGCCCCTCCCAAGGCCCCAGGGCAGATCTGCCTTTGGTAGGCTAGCAGACATCCTGAAAGGGTGGGTTCAGACCTCCATGATATAGAGGCTCTGATCTCATCAGACCTCCAGAGAGTGCTGGCCTCCCTTGGGCCTCCCTTTGGAACAGGCCCTGTGAATGCGGGGGACTGCCTGAGAGCCCCCATCCTGCCTCCACGTGAGGAAGTAAGCCTGAGTGTACCTGACTGGAACCTGAATTGGGCTTCTGTGCGTACTCCTGAATACCTGATCTGAGGCCATCAGTTCCCTCCAAATTAAACCTGAGAGAACCTGAACCCTGTACCAACCCGCTTTACATAACCAATAAAGAAAGGATCTAGGCACTGTGATAATTCAAACAGAAGCATACTTCAACTTAATTCTCATATCAAAATCATAAACAAAAGAAATTCACATGCAAAAGTCACAACAAAAGAATAATAAAATGGAAAGCCGAAACACTATGTCCCTACCAAACTCTACCACTCCTGTAGAAGAGTTCTACAAGAACCCCCTAGAGATAACCCATGACACAGAACTTAAAAGAACAATCATACACATGATCAAGGATTCAATGAATTTAAAGAACACACAAACAAATCAAAGAACTAAAAGAAGATAGGGATAACCTTCTGAATGAATTCACAAAAGAGATTGAAACATTGAAGAAAACTCAGGTAGAAATGAAGAAGGAAGTACAAAACTCAATAAGCCAAATTGAAACAACAGGGGAAAGCCTCACCACTAGAAAGAATGAAACGGAAGACAGAATATCAACACTGGAAGATAAGATTGAAGAACTGGACCACTCAAGCAAAGATTATGGAGAATTAAAAAACACAGGAATGGAATATGCAACGTATGTGGGGCACCATGAAAAGACCAAATCTACGGATCATAGGAATAGAGGAAACAGAATTTCAGGTTAATGGTGTTGACCAGATCTTAAACAGGATTGTAGAAGAGAATTTCCTGAAATTAAGGAAAAACATCCCCATACAAATACAGGAAGCACATAGAACACGACAGGACAAGAAAAGACATTCCAGATATCATATCATAGTAAAAACACTAAATGCAGGGGCTGGAGAGATGGCTCAGCAGTTAAGAACACTGACCTTTCCTGCAAAAGACTCAGGTTCAAATCCCAGCACCCATATGGCAGCTAACAACTGTCCATAACTCCAGTTCCAGGGGATCCAACAGCCTCTTCTGTCCTCCGCGGGCAGTGCACGACATGGGTGCACTTACTTACATGCAGGCATAACACTCATACACATAAAATAAAAATAATAAATAAAACATTTTAAAAAACACTAAATGCACAAAACAAAGAGAGAATACTGAAAGCAGCAAAAGAAAAACAACAAGTCACATACAAAGGAAAGCCCATCAGAATTACAGCTGACTTATCAATGAAAACTATGAAAACCAGAAGAGCCTTGGCCAAAGTATTTCCAGTTCTACATAACAATAGATGCCAGCCCAGAACACGTTTACCAAGAAAAATGTCTATTATAGTTGAGGGGGAAAGAAAAATCTTCCATGACATGAATAGACTGAAAGAATACATGTCCAGAAAACCAGCCCTTCAAAGAATACTTGAAGCAATACAAAGAGCAGAGAGAGAAACAACTATACCCTGGGGAAACAAAAGAAAATAAAGGTATAATTGAGGAAACACAAAAATAGACAGAGAACACAAACAACAATCAAAATGACAGCAACCAATGCACAGCTTTCAATA